TGAAAATAACACCCACTAAATGATGACAGGAAAAGCACATAATATTAAAAAAAAAAAAAAAAAAAGTATTTCATTGTCATTTCTGTATTATTCCCAGAACAGGTACCCCCTGTGGTTAGTGTGTGCAGGAAGGAAAGTTACTGGCATTCAGTCTCTTATCATGTTAGACTTTTCCCTGACATAGAATAAGGCAACTGTGAAGATAAATGAAACTTATGCTTGAATACAGACAGGACTTTTCCATCACAAAAGGTACTGTGGAGGTTCAAGACAGTAATGGAATAAATCATTTCACAAAGTAAAAGTTAAGATTTGTCTCTGTGATAGTTTGTCACATATGCAATATAATACTTTAGAACAAATAGGCATTAAAATAGTTATTATTTACAGATGACCAAATGTTTTAAACAATAGTACAATATATTCTTAAAACGTTCTTGCTCCTTTAAAGATAAAAATACATTTAGTACTGCTAACTGAATGACATGCCAGCAAAGCTGTAGTCTGAGGCTGTTGGGTGGCTGTGAAGTCAATAACCTAACAGTTTGCAGTATAAGGATCTGCCTGTCTATTTATGTAACAATTATAACAGTAGAAAACCCCATGCAATTAAATCAAGTTCCCCCAGCAATTTCCACTCCCCAGAGGTCATATTTGTCCATGCTTCAGAAGACTGACAGCTTGTGTCTTCCAAGGTACCCGATTCTACTTAGTATACTGAACTTCAGCTGGATTTATTTTTCTAAAATATGCAGTGCAATTTTTAGGGTGGCATTTACAGCCATTGAGGATAGACTATTTTTGAGCAGGCATTTGTGTTTATGCTATTGACCTTTACAATTGTAAATTTTCTTCATTGAGCTAATGATTTATTTAAACAGTTCTTTAATGTGCAAGCGAAGCTCCAACACACTTCTGATATTTTCATATTATTTACATAAGAATATTTTTCTGTTTTGGCACACTTTAGGAAGGAATTGTTAGCCATCAGTACTGCTGGTGGTAACAATAATCTGGTGATTGAAATATCATACATAAAGCAATTAATAGATGTTAAGTATTATAGCACGCTTATGGCTTTTCAGCTGAGAATTGTACAGAAATTATTTCTTTGTAAGTTGATCTGCATCCAATTCTGGTTCTTTTAGTCTTACATAGCAATGTTATTTAATAGAAAGACTTATGGGGAATACCATATCCTAATTACCATTTCAGAGGAGTTTTGCTTGCAACTAGCACCCAATTAACTTTGTTTATTTTCTGTAATAGTAGCTGCTATTGACCCCATTTTGTATCATCAAACTCAGTATATAAAAGCAACTAAATGGCCAGAAGCTCAACCGCTTCCCTGGTCACCGTGGTAGGTTACAGATTGCCACTCCAGGGATGTTTCCAAGCCTTATTGTGACAAATCAATAAGCATTCAGCCACCTTATTCCCGTGACAAGTTCTAATGAAGTTTTCTTTGCCAAGAGTAATGGTGCCTGTGACTGGATAGTGACTAGGCCATTCATTCAGATATTTGAGAAGTGCAAAGCGCCCAGGAAACGCTGGCAAAAGGCGAAAAAATAAAACCAGTGAAGAGTTTTCAAGGAAACTGGCGGAAGCTGAACTTGTGTAGCATCATAGATTGCATAGAGTCACATCTCTCCGTGAAAGCCTAGCCTGAATGTTAGAAAAATGAGCAGACTGTGTGTGTGGCTTCCGTCATGTGAGTAGGGGGGCAAGCTTTATGGCCAGCAAACCAGCATTCGGGGTTCTGAACTATCACCCTTAATAGTACTGAGTCCATATCTCAAGCGAAAAATAGGGTGTAAAAGCTAATTTTGAAATGGTAAATTGGACAATGAAATGATACCTGGATACTAGTCAGATTATCCATTGTCCAGGAAAATAGCATAGTGACCACAGGTCTGGTATTGCAGTTAAATGGTTTAAAAAAAAAAAAAAACCCTCCTCTCAAAACTCACCCATGAGTGGGAATCTTTTCAGTGTTTTGACTGTCGAATCAGATGCTGTGTCCACATCATTTCAATTTTCTTGACTTTTATCTTACCTACTAGTTGACTACTATGCCATTGGTTTCCAGTTGGACATAAAGGGAAATGTTATCTCTGTTTCCCTGCTCTTCGCAAGTTGGAAAATCATGGTGGTAACAAACAGCACTGATTACGAAAAGTGTTTGTTAAAGTGCTCTTGACCTTTTCTTCCTTTCTGTTTACCTGCATTCCATAGTGATGTTTTTGCCTACTCATTTAATCATTTAATCATGGTGGTCTTTGACATTGGAGGTGATGAGAGAGAGAAATGATCATGAAGAAATTTCACGGTTGGTTTTTAAATACTGATCTAAAGAATATGAATTCCTTCCAAAAAAATAATTTTTTTTTCCTTTTCTGTTCCAAAGTCTTGCTTGGAAATCTGGACTTGAAGGCCTGATGTCTCACCATCCAGCTGCTTTCCTTTGGGACCCTTGCTGCTTTGTATTAATGATTTCAGTGTTGACTCATTAAGTACAGTTTGGCTTTTTCTTTTATTTGTGGACTTTATCTGAACCACAGGAAGTTCCATCTGAACCTGAGAAAAAACTTCTTCACTGTGAGGGTGACAGAGCATTGGAACAGGTTGCCCAGAGAGGTGGTGGAGTCTCCTTCCCTGGAGATATTCAAAACCCATCTGGATGTGATCCTGGGCAATATGCTCTAGGTGACCCTGCTTGAGCAGGGAGGTTGGACTAGATGATCTCCAGAGGTCCCTTCCAACCTAAACGATTCTGTGATTCTGTGACTTTATGGGAAAGTATAAGGACCAACCATCAGAAGAAGAGGATGAATTTAATTGCTTACTGGTCTATATGACTACCAAAATTATGGGATCCAGGTAATGAATAATCTGAAAGTTGCTTCTGCTGCTCAAACTAGCATAGGAAGGAAACATAGTAGAAAGAGCTGCAGCTTTGAATATCCTCCTTGTTTCTGGAGATCATGCATCTGGCAGATCTTCCTTCGTTTTCATGAGCTCAAGGGCAACTGAGAAGCTGGGAGTTAGCACAAGTCAAAATTGCCGTCTGTTTAGTCTGCTTCTGCTGAACTGAGGAACTGATGTTGCCTGTTAGACATACTGGTAGTCCCTTTTTGTTGCTGTCCTTAGCAACATCGCAGGCACATGCCAGCCAAACTGTCTGCCTGTGTTTACAGTGTAAGTGATTTTGAAAACTCGCTGCTCTGTGCATTTACCTTTGGACAGGATCCAGCTCTTTCCGTTTTATTTGACACATCAAGTGTTTTTGTCTTGAACTTTCTCATGAATTTTTATTAAGGGAATATTCTTTAGGGAAAGGAATGCAAAGACAAAAATAGGGACCCAAGTGGCCTGCAGGCTGAAAGACTTGGAGGGAGGTGGCAAAGCCTTTGGGAGAGTTGGGAACTCTGTATCGGAGAGAGCCTCAGAAAGGACTGAAAATTGGCAAAACTGTGAGAAGGGGTTTTCTGCGCCGTTCTCGCTGCTCTTTGACTTTATCACAATTAAAGCTGACTGCTGAAGACTTGAGTTTCCCTTGCTGCTGGCTGTTGTCAAATCTGATGCTGAAGTGATGCTAAAAATAGCAGAGGCAGAGCCCTGTTTTGGTGATGATGGGCTCGTTAGGAGGTGCTTATGCAGATAGCAGCAGCAGCCTGTGGACTTCTTGACTGATGTGCAGATCATGCCTCTGATAAAACTCATTCAGCTTTGCAGTTAGAATACACACACACACACACATATATGTAAATATAGATATATGTATATCAATAACTGGCTTAGGAATGCATCTGTTCTTAGGTTGTAAGTAGTAGCTACTGAAACAAAGATTTGATTGAGCAACTTTGAAGTTTGAAAGATTAAGACAGCAGAGAAAAGCCTAGCTGTAGGATATAAGTGCCTAACTGGAATTAGCTGTTTCATTTATCCTATGCTTTGATTGTCCCAACATTTTTGCAAATCTCAATAAACTGCAATTGATCTCAGTCTTTTAATGAGTCAGTCCCAATAAGGTACAAGCTAGTGTGTTATACGTCTTTGTGGGAAGGGCCTGGCTCGAGTGGAAGTGGTGGGAAACAGGCTGAGGTTGCTCTCACCCTTGGAGTTCTCTTGGAGAAGAGGGCTGCAGAGACTATAGGATGAAGCAAAAAAAGAAAAAAAGAGAAGAAAAAGAGTATGACCCCTGTGAAAGCGTGGCTGCTGCAGGGAAGAGCACTGGGGGTCAGGCAGGGAGGCAAGCCAGGGTGGGAGGAGAGTTTGCCAGGGCCAGAGGCCACAATGGAGAGTTTGCTGCAGCCCAGAAGCCGCTGAATTGCCTGGAGCTCAGCTGGATCTGAGTAACTCAGGACAGATGCAGGGGGAAAATGAAGACTT